TTTAGTTATCGGACAAAACACGAGTCGCCAGCTGGCGACCAGTTCTGAAAATTTAGTCGCCAGTGCTCAAGTTTTGGTTGCATTGGCAACCAGTGAGTTGCAATTTCGAGCCCTGGCACAAACAATATATTCAGAGAACCTCACCGAAAATGTACAAAAATGAAATCAAAATTCTCGCTAATCCTGGGTTAGCTTAATCAGGCTTTGAACAACCCGGCCCTGAGTGCCAGAAAGGATGGGAAGATGCATTTGAAGCTTGTTTATAAAAAGCGTTAACTTTTCCTGCCAAACGAGGATTTAGTCGTGAGCTTTGACAGTACAGTAAAAATCTGTGGTGCAATGCCGATGCTTTGGTATTTCGAAGCCTGCACATTATTACAGAAGCAAGTGCAACACAATTTGCAGCTGTTCCTTTCATTTTAACATCACTTTCTTGAATGCCACATGCACCAAGGACAAGATAATAAGATACTACTGAGTGGGAAAACCTAGTGATTTTGTCTGGGTTGTTACATAGCATGCTTTCTGATTTTATCATGTACTAGCTACTCCGACATTTCATTAGAAGCATTTTTGTTGACAGCATTTAGAACCTTTGGGTACAATTCTGAATGATTTGTTTTAGTGTTAGCTGCGGCATGCCAGTTTTTTTCACATATTTGCCTTACGAAACATCTAGTCTTCTCGTCGCAGGGAATTCTTACGAGGACATTTCCAGAGTTGGTGTTATAAACAACTTTGACTTGGAGGCCGCCTAGGGGAAGATTATCTATATTCAGATACTGGTCAAGATTATCATTATTTTCTTTCTCCGATGTTTGAAGCCTCTCTTGCCCAAATACAAGAGTTTTCCGAGAAGACTTTCCGTTGTTTGTTTTTGTCACAGGCGATAACATTCGAACCGATTTGCGGATCTGGTGTTTCCAGCAAACGCTTCTTTACTGGAGTTGCCTTTGTAGGAGTTGACTAGCTAATTTTACCTTTATTGATTCCTGGACGAATGAATACAGTGATCCGAGACTTCAAATGTTGTGAGCACAAGGATTACAAACGCGACTTGAATAATTCTCACATTTTAACTTTCTGGCAGATTTATGCTAAACCGTCACCCTTGCAGTCCTTCCTTTTAGACGGATTGAGTAGAAATATAGCTTGATTATAAATTACCAAATTTAACTTTGAAATTGCAAAAATTTTACAAAGCCTGCATTGGTCGCCCGGAGTCATTGAGATTTCTCCATCCCCACCATACACTTGTTGTTTCAGACATATTTGACAAATTAAAGTTTGTTTTGGTCCAAAGTTCACTTCCGCTACAGAAAACTGAAGATTCTCTTGGTTAATTTATGACAATCAATGACAGCATGACATCTCAGTGTGCATGTGGGCAGTTTTTAAAATCCAGGGGTTTGTCTGCAAGCATTTCCTGCCTTCCTTACCCACCCCTTCCCCTGTGTTTTACTCGCTTCATTTTTCACGCTGTAATTCTTTGCGCCCGAACCCCACAGAAGCACTTGCTACCCAGGCTGTGGTAATCAATTTCTGAAAAAATTGTCTCTTCTTCATCTATCATGTATGAGAATGGTAAAATTATCTTTAATTGACCAAAAAAATATTTATAACAGACTATTTTGTATGGGTGAAGTCTGCATACAAGCCACGTGGCCTATCAGGCCAGCACCTATGTACAGTTTCCATAGCATGTAGTGACTATGAGTATTTCTACTCCCCCCTGGATGGGATGCTAGTCCATTGCAGGGCTACCTTCACCATTAAATTTGCTGGTACCCATGTGTACACCTGGGTGGAGAGAGGCACTGTGAAAGTATTTAGTGTCTTGCCACAATTTCCAACACAATGTTCCCGGCCAGGGCTTAAACACGAACTGTTTGATCTGGATTTGAGCACATTAACCATGAGACCACAGGACCTCCACACAGCTAGTCAATCTTGAAGCTCATTCAGTCAGTTGTAGAAAGACAATGACAACCCATAATTTCTACTCTGTTGCATTAATTTTAATTTATTTATTAACTATTATTGTAGGCGTTTCCATTCATCAATTACGTCCAATCAAAAATGGCTGAGGGAAAGAAGTCACGAATCCTATGCAAAAAACTATTCAATGGTTTTTCGCCATGATGAACCGCTTGCTTCTAGAAATATGCGATGTGATCCTTTTCACAAGGTACTGTAGTGTCTACTTTGTTAACTTTCAATAAGCAAACTAACCAGATGAACATGATTTCTAGTCGAGTCTCTGTGAGTTCAAAGCGTGTTCTTTGAATCTGAAGAATTGTTTCAGTCAAACTAAAATTGCAGACAAAAATCATTTAAACTGGGTGTTATATATATTGAGCAGTTTGTCTTCTGTTGTACATGAATTAGTGTTACAGTAGTTCCCTTAAGTTCATTTGTGGTTGGGTTTTCAGTAATGTGTTATAAGGGTAAAGGGAACGTCTGCATACCAGCCAAGTGGCACACCAGGCCGGAACTTATCCTGGTTTCTGTAGTATGAAGCAACTAGGAGTATTTCTACCCTCCCCTGGATGGGATGCTAGTCCATCACAGGGTTACCCCCAGCATTAAGTTTGCTGATACCCATTTATACACCTGGGTGGAGAGAGGCACTGTGAGAGTGAAGTGTCAAGCTCAAGAACACAACATAGTGTTCCCAGCCAGGGCTTGAACTCGGGCCGCTCGATCCAGAGACAAGTGCACTAATGTGTTATAAGTACTCCATAAAAAATAACGTCAGATCTATCAAACTGTTTTATGATTGTAGCTGTTTGCCTAATTAAACTAATGTCTTAAATTTAATATTTGATGTTTAATATACACTATTTTATAGTCTGATATTTCTCCTAAATCATAATACAGGAGTGCTCTAAACAGTGACCCTTAGTAACTATTAAACGACTTTCCCTTAACCTGTAGTATCAAAATTAAACACTTGATACCTTTATATTACATATTTCAATAACATACCAAATGACTGTCGATTTCAGATCCTCTTGGACAAAGGATGTATTTATCAGGAGCGACATGGCTGGGAGAGACCAGGCTGGTTTGTTCCTGATGCAGTACCTGAGGTAATCAAGACCCTCTCTTCATCTGCTTTTTATTATTTATTTAGCAACGATTTGGGAAGTTTTACTGTTTTTTTCTCCATGCTTGAAGCAACAGTTTTGATGTGCATTGATTTAAAAAAGTTACCTCCTAAAGTAAAGTGTTAACATATCATTCGGCAACTCAAAAGTTTAGCAATAATTGCTTTTAGTAAGAGGTAAAAGTCTCCATTCCAAGTTACTTTAAAGTTTGTCTTAAAAAACACTGTCTGCTGACTTAGTTACTGTAGTTGCATTTGATAATAAATTAGTCAAGATCTTTGAACAGGCATATTAATTTGTGTTTAATTTGTTTACATTCAGGTAAAGAAGTATGATTACTATGGAGCTTATGATGTTAAAAAACACCAAGACTATAAATACAATGAACTGCTGGGTCAGGACTACACCTTTGACTTTCCACCTCATCATGATATTGTAAGTATCAAATTAAAGTATTGTTAATTGCTAGATTTCAATAAGAGGTAAGGAAACCTTGCTTTGGATTAGCCATTGGTATATTGTGTTTTAGGCAAGATCACTCTGTCCCACGGTGCCTCTTTAGAGGTAAAAAGGTAAAGGTAAAGGAAAAGTCTGAGTACAGGCCAAGTGGCCCACCAGGCTAGAGCTTATCCCAGTTTCTGTAGCATGAAGTGACTAGGAGTATTTCTACTCCCCCCTGGATGGGATGCTAGTCCATTGCAGGGTTACCCCCCGGCATTAAGTTCATCGGTATCCATTTATGCACCTGGGTAGAGAGAGGCACAGTGTGAGAGTAAAATGTCCTGCCCAAAACACAACGCAATGTCCCCGGCCAGGGCTTGAACCCAGACTGCTCAATCTGGAGATGAGCACACTAACCATGAGGCCACCATGCCTATTTAGGGGTGCTAGTAGTAGTAGTAGTAGTAGTAGTAGTATACTTTATTTACCCTCGGATTGTAGAGTAGCTTTAACAGCTAATGTCTCCGAGCATTTCAACAGTAAATCAAATGGTAAATAGTAAATAGCCAAATAGTAAATCAGTGACTCCTCAAGACAGTGAGACTAAGGGCCTGCTCATATGAGCCTGAACGTAAACTTGAACGGTTCATGATTGTCGTAGCTTTGTGGACTCTTGTAACTTTATAATTATAATTACTTATAAAGCAAATTTACATACTTCTGAAGTGGAAATACATACAAGCGAAGCTATTTTTTCAAAAAAGTTTCATCCCAATTACCCGCGCTGCAGCGTTCATGTGGGATAATTTTAAATCCAGTTACTGAGATCTCGGTTGCAAAAACCAACATCTCGGTCATCGCACCAACCCGGCATCTCATATGATTACATTGAAACTTTTATGAAGGAAAGAATGATGAGGCAAGATCTTGGAAACCAAACCAGCCTGGTTGACCAGGTTCATATGAAAGGGCTCTAAATGAAATCTTTTGAGTGAGCATGAGACTTTCCCACTCTTGCAAAAGAAATTGAGTCTTCGTGGCATCAAGATGGCAAGACCAATGAAATTTGACTCAAATTCTCTGAGTCTTATGTTAATTGCAATTTTTCTATATTTTGTGAAATGGTGTTAAAAATAAGATTGTAAATGGTTTGAACCCAGGAGTATCAGTAGTTCATATAGTGTGATCATCCGGGTGAGGGTCACCAACAACACTCACCAACAACACTCACCAACAACACTCACCAACAACAGTTCTTTTCAGAACTACCCTCACCCAGACGATCACACTATACGAACTAAAAATAAGATTGTCTTTCATTGACAGATTGGAAAAGAATGCCTTGCATGTCGAGAAAAAGTAGCTGTTTTCAACATGTCATACTTTGCTAAGTTTTATTTAACTGGCCCTGATGCTCAGAGGGCTGCAGACTGGATATTCACCAATAATATGGCAAAACCTCCAGGTACCAAAGTGTACTTAGTACTTAACTGTAGTTACTGGTACATGTGCATTTAATTATTTGACTTGCACATATTAATCTTATTAGTCAGGGTCTATTATTTAATCTCAGTTATAACAATGTAAACTCAGTATCAATCAAATGATTTTTTTTGTCGTACTTGACTTTCCCACACACACAGGGTAAGAGAAATTGTGAAATAATCTTGTGAATCTAATAATAATCTTTGCCCTTCACCGTTCATCCTTCTCTTTTGACCCATCAACCATCACCCTTCACTCGTCATTCTTCACTCTTCACGTACTCTTCACTCAGAAGGGTCTCTTGCATACAATTTTTTTGACTTCATAACTAATATCTCCTTCAGACTTTTGGATAACTGACTTATTACTAAATAATTTACAGGTGCTACTACTTACACCTGTATGACAAACAAAGATGGGGGTGCTGAGGCTGATATCACTGTCAGTGTCTTGGAGAATGGCGATGGTTCAAGTATTGTAAAACCACAATTTGAGGGTGAGCAATGGAACAAATTCAAGTTTGTGATCCTTAAAGTGTAAATTTATTAGTCTAAGAACAACCAGTTATTTCATTGGCTCACTACATGCTCACCTGATCACTCACTTGTAAATAGGAATTAGACTGAAATTATTTAATATACGTGTAGACACATTTTTTAAAACATCACTGCTGGGATAAGACTAGGGCTACAAGTTATGTTGGGTGTGAAATATTCAAAGCCTGACAACATGGCTGTGGTTGCAGGGAACTGAAGTCAAATCAGATTGTCAAGTACACTCCATACATGAAAACCAACCAATCTCCTTCACGTTGGCCCTCATATAAAATACCTAATTATTTTAATTAAAGAAAGCAAGAGGAAATTTTCTGAAATTCTAAATAGAAATTTAATTGAAAAATGAACCAGTTGCACCATGTATACAGGAACATACAGCTTGTGTAAGCATTCATTTTTATTCTTTAGACTCAAACTTTAGAACAGCATACTATTCTAAATTTGTCCAACATCAAACAACAATAACCGATGTTTGTTATGACTCAAGGTCAAAGAGAAAGTTTGTGTTGGGGCAATTTAAGGCTTGACCCACAGCCATGAGGTATTGGCTGATCACCTGTTAATATCAAAAACTGTCTCCAATTTTGGATGGTTGAGTTCTGTATAAACCATGTTTAATGACAGCAGTTGTGTCACCATACCCAGTTCAGAGCATCAAGGCCAAAAACCATAGCCTATCTTGTGGTATATCCCTCTACAGGTTATGTACTTGGAGTACCTACCCCCATATCTCCAGGGGCATCACTAAAACTGTTTCAAAGGTTGTTGACAATGTCACATAAGTCACCCTTACCATGCTTTCATCAATTTCCAGGTGATGGATTTTACATTGCAGTCGGTGGTGGAATAGGTCAGCATGGTTGGTGTCATATCCAAAATATTCTTCAAGACAAACAATATGATGTCAAATTTGAAGATAACTCAGAGAAAATGGGAATGCTGAGTATACAGGGACCGAAAAGGTAAGTGACCAAAAGAAGATTTCATGGTAGGTAGCAAATAGTTATGTTAAAGATGATTACAATCACCTTCTACATGTTAATGCTAATAATGCGCAAAACTACAGTTGCAGGATTTGCAGGCTTCTTTGACACCATGTGAGTGACTTCTAAGGAGTATTGCTATGCAAATGGGATGGCTTTGACATTCTACCTTGGGTTACTGGGCAGTAGTATTTTGTAAGGTTGTATCACCAACACGTTGCCAGTGACCATACGTCTTATGTGATTTCTTTTCAGTCGTGAGTTACTCCAGTGTCTGACCTCAGCAGATCTTAGCAATGAGGCCTTCCCTTTCTCCACTCACAAAGTCATCAATGTTGCTGGCCATGATGTTCGTGCTCTTAGGATCACTTTCGTAGGTGAACTTGGTTGGGAGTTACACATCCCCCGTGACTCATGTGTGCGAGTTTATGAAGCAATCATTGAAGCTGGAAAAACGTTTGGTATTGTAAATGGTGGCTACAGAGCTTTGGATTCACTCAGTGCAGAGAAAGGTTACAAACACTGGCATCAGGATTTACGACATGACGATACTCCTCTGGAGGCAGGATTGGGTTTCACTTGCAAACTGAAGTCAGATACCCCATTTCTTGGAAGGGAAGCCCTTGAACAGCAGAAAGCTGAAGGTCTTAGGAAGAGATTAGTATGCTTCACCATTGAAGAGTAAGAAACACAATTATTATTATCAATGCATAAGTTGTCACTTAAGCTCTGTGATCATTAGAGATGCTGTAGTGACTCGATTAAGACCCATACACTTTACATGCACAGGTAAGTAGGCTTTCCCCCACTGCATGCGCAAGACACCACTGCTTTAGCTGGCCACCTGAATGGAAGAAGTCTTTTAATTAAGTAGAGCAAAATGTAATGATGGTGTCAGAAGTGGCACACGGTATTGTAATCAGCTTGTCTTTTTGCAATGTTGTGCAGCTCCAGAAAATAGCTGTTAACCCACCACAAAGAACATCAAGGGAAAGAAATGTCTGAAAAGCCAAATTTTTCTAGGGGAAGTTTGAAGATTATATCAAATAAATGGAATTTCCTGTAGTTGTGAAGTTCAAGCCATGAAACCAAGGGTATTTCCTGGAACAACACAATGTAAGCTTACAACATTTTGATTATTTGCATCTTGTATTTACAGTCACAAGGCTCTTCTTGGTCTTGAAGCAATATGGCGCGATGACAAAGTTGTTGGCTTCATCCGAAGAGGAGAGTATGGTTATGCAATAGGCAAGAGCATGGCTTATGGATATGTTAAAGATCCTAGTGGCAACCCAGTGACCACAGAGTTCTTAAAGTCAGGCAAATACAGTATTGAATCGATGGGGGAACTGTTTCCTGCACAAGTACACATCAAAGCACCATTTGATCCAAAGAATCTTAGAGTACAAGGAATTTATAGTTAATGTAATGTAATGGAGTGTCATAGCTCTGCGCACTGAAGCAGAAGTGTAACACAAGAGTCCTTCAAACAGTGAGCCATGATTTTGACAGCGTTCAAGTTTTAATAATTAAAACAAAAACAATGCTAATTTTCCTCACTTGTCTTCATACTGTTTTGAAACTACTATTTTGGAGAAATTAACTATATAATTCTATAAATGGCAGACTGATGAAAATTTCTCTTTTGTCATGTTTATTCTCAATAATGTAAATAAGGTACAGAGAATTTGGGCATGAAGGATTTGGACCAAATTGGTTCTGCATGTGTTGTAGGAAATTAGAAGTACACAGTGAAGAATTTGTAACTTAAATAACAATGTCATTGATGTAAAATGTTGAAACAGTAAGCCAAAACCTTTCTTCACTCTTCCTTAATTTAACAAACAATCATTGTTTCTTTTTGTTTGATCAGCACCTCTTTAGTGAATTAGTTAGGAAACTTTTTTTAGAGTTTAGGAAATCTCAAAATCTTTGTATGCTCTACATGCAAACGTTTGAGTTCTCTTAGTCTTTGACTATAATTACTGCATCTGTCAGGTCTTACATCTGAGTTTGTGCAATTACTTCTTGAGATGAGAACACTTAAATTTTGTATTTACTTTCAGTTAGAAAACTGAATAATATAGATAATGTTAACCTGGTTCATAGCAAAGCTTGATTCCATGGGTACCCAATTATTTTGAGACATCTCATTTTTTTTACTCTCAATGGAAATGATAAGATCTATTTAACAGATGAGCAAGTTTAGGTAGCGTGTGAAAATGTACTGATTGAAATAAAATGAAGAATATAAGAAATATTGACTTGTGTTGTACAACAATCACCAGCTTAGTATCACTGCTTAAATAGAATCCATCAGTCTTAAATATTTGTTCCTTGGATGTGAATGTGTGCAGAAGGGTAAATAGATCTTCCAAGGGGGAGGGGGATCTCAAAAGCTAAAACTTTTAAAGGAAAGTAGAAAGCAAAACTGGAATTTCCAGACAGATTGGGGGTTGACGTCAACCCAACAAACCCTTTGAGGGAGGGGTATGATTATTTGCTGGAGCAACACAACATATGATGCCAAAGAAAAGTGATTTGAGAAATTTTAAAGCAAGGTATTAAAAGTTTGCATTAATCCCTAGTGGTTTATCAAGGAGCAAAGAAAGTGAAAGTAATATCACTAATTTCTTTGTTCTTGTAACTGAACAATGCCCATCCTTCATTGTAGCCTTGTTAACAGCTGTTATCTGGGTTGTCATACAACACCTCTAATTGGTGGGAAAAAGTGTTGTGTCTCAACAACAATATAACTGTTACATATGAGAGGACATTGCCACTCTGGATATTTTCTTAACAGTTTCAAAGTCAGTAGCAACAAGTTATTGCCCTTGACAAAGCAAACCCAGTTACCACAATATTTTCAATCGACCAAACAATCAATCTAATCTCTCTTTGGACAGGGTAATATCCATTTATCCAAATTTCAATAAAATGCATCAGTTCTATACTGAAAATTTAAGTTTGCAGGTTATCATTTTTGAGACAAAATATTCTTTCTTAAAGACTTGCATAAAATTAAAAAAATTCAATGTAAAAAGAAAGTTGTCTGTTCGGGAGAATTTTTAATATATTACTCATGCCAGCAAGATAATTTTTTTTTTGTAGGGGGAGGGGGTGGCAAATGAAAATGACTTTCATGCTACCCCATCCTAGGGCAAGCTGGTAAAGAGATTTTCTTTGAACCCTTCGATAATGAAGGAGAGGTTTTCAGCTTTATTTGCATTTGATTAACTATAAATTTAACACATTTCCCACTCCAAAATAGAGATTTATTTTAGTCTGAAAAGTTAAATTACTTATTTTAGAGTGTGGTTGCCACTTAAAAATATAAACATTAAAACGGCTTTGGAGTTGGTGGATTGTGATTACAAGCTCATATTCTGCCACAAGTACTTGTCTGAGCATTTAAGTTGTTTTTCAAAAGTTGCAAGCATTCTTGAGCGTCAAGGAACTTTAGTAAGCACTGAATTTTTTTTTGAAAAAAAAAAAATAATAATAATAATACTAAACAGTGATTCACACTAACTGATGTTATTGGAGACCTAAATCAAGAAAACCAAGTCTGACAGAATTGGGTCTTGTGATCTTACATACACTTGACAAACTTAGGTTGTTTCATATTTTGACATTTGGTTAAGCCTTCACTAATCATCTTTCCATGTTACAGTCAAACCAAGTGAAGCGTACCCCTCAAGATTACATCAATGAATTGATTATTTGAATACTGAACCCGCTAATCATTTCAAGAATGCAATAATGAATTGATTATTTAAATCTTGAACACGCTAGTCATTTCAAAAATCAATATTAATTGATTTTTTTGAACATTAAACCTATTAGCTGTATTCTTGGAACAACTAGTGGGTTCAATTTTCCAATAATCAATTCATTATTGCATTCTTGAAACGACTAGCAGGTTCAATATTCAAATAATCAATTCATCAATGTAATCTTGAGGGGTACGCTTCACTTGGTTTGACTGTAAACCATCATAATCCACTAATATTTCGGAAACATTTTTAGTCAGTGGGGCAGCTTGGTTGTGCTAGTGTGGGAATTTAAGAGCTATAAAGATGACCTAAAGTAAGAATTATTGAAGCCTGAAAATATGCATGTGAACTAACTTCTACAGCTGCGTGCAGTGACTGGTTTCATGCACTGAATACATGCATACATAACGTTTTTGTCTCGGCAAAAAGATTTACAAGTGGATTGAAAAATGACCATTTACATGCCAATGCAGTGTATGCATTGTGGTTCGATATTACCCTTGGTAAAACTGGGTATTTTCATGTACATTATAACATAATACCACACAACAGAACAAAGAAAAACACCAAGATGTACAAAGGGCAAAATTTAACCATGACATATGCATGAAAACAAATCAACATAAACTTAAAATATGTTGTAGTGTCTTTTCCATCCATGCCCCTTTGTCACTTTTCTTTTGAGTTCTTTTACAGTTTTAAGCCATTGCTTCGAATTTCAATGATTAACATATAACAATAATGGATTATTCTATAACTGGTTAGTTGACACTGAAATTGCCTAAAGTAATGCACCCTTCTAGGTGGCACTCTATGGTGTCACCAGGAGAAAAACAGTGTAGCAGCTTCCTACTTTGAAACTAAGGAGTTACTAAAAGTCTTGCAAAATGTCCCACTCTTAAGAGACTTGTAAACATGTAAGAACTAAAACAGTACCAAATGTGTCAGTGGTTCAAGAAAATATCCATACCCACCCTGTGGAAGGTCCTTAGAAAATGAGGTGTAGTGGGAATTTAAAATCCAAATTTTAAAAAGAAAGTACGAAACTAGTCCAGAATATTCAGAGCTCTGGGAGGGTTAAACCAAAAACCCTTCTGTAGGAGGAGTGTGGATATTTGCTGGAATATCAACATCATTTTTTTGCTAAATAATTTTGGTCTTGAGACAGAATTTTGGGCAATACTTGATACCTTGTAATTAGCTTAAAAGACTGCTCAGTTGTAAACATAAACTAATATTAACAGTAACATGAATATTTGTAACTTTTAGCTATTGCAGGAAATCAAATTTCTCTTTGACAACCACTCTACAGGTTACCCCTCCTGTATAATGATGAAATTNGGGGGGGGGGCTGAAACTCCCATTTAAAAAGAATGGGAGGGTGCTCATCAGATATTTGGAAAAGAACCCCTAAGAGGTACCAAGATCCCATTTTGTGGGCATGGCTTCAAACATTTTTCCATCCCTAAGAGATAAAATTATTCTAAGTAAACACGTTAACTGATGCTGACATTTTTCAGCTCAATACCCTTAAAGGTACTGCAAAAACGCCTGCTGAGGTACCTAATAGGTACCAATTCTACTTTTTAAATCCCTTAAAGGTACAACAAGCACCCCCATCCATTTTATATGGGAGTTCCCCCCCTTCCGGGAAGTAAATGTTAGTTTGTCTTTGTTGTACACTGAGTAACCTAAAAGTTGATGTAACCCAGTTTTAAAAAGAGGCATGCTTTAAGCTTTCTAAAAAAGCTCTGTGTCATATTGGTTTTGAATTCTTGTATCATAGAATGTCATTCATAATTTGTTTCAAAATGATTTAAAAGATAGTAATACCATAGTTATACTCTAAAGAAATCCATAACCTAAGTCCTAGTTGGAAACCAAACTAACTTGAAAAAGAATAGGTATTGCATATAAGAACAGTCATTTGGTGACAATTTACATCTCTATTTCTCATGAGTTAAACCCACAATGCCTCGAATAAGACAGTTCCAACATCTGCATTGACCAAAATGTAACTGAATCCACCATCTGAATCCACTCTCCACACACATGGCTTAACACTGACACTTGAACACCAATGCCAAAGTTATCTTTTTGTGGAATGGAGGAGTTCTGACAAAGAATTGCTTGCATTAATCTGTCCTGTAAGACTCAACATAAAAAGACGTTCTAAACTTTTGGTGCCAATCGATCTCAGTTCTGGCAACCTTAGAAGAATGTTTCCAAAGCGATTGGGTTCACTGGGGTGAAAATTGTTGTTATATTCCAATAGTGATGCATGGACTTTATCTTGCAGTTTCTCAATGAGCTGCTGGTCATAAAGACCCTTGACATCTAAACAGAGACACAGAGCAAGTAAGTAATAAATACTCAACAACTGACTTGGGGTAACTGGGTCTTTATTGAGTAGTAAAGTGTTGCAATCTCCCCCCTCCCCAACCCCCCAATCACAAGGTAATGTGTATTTATGGTTTGCCACCATCACTGTATAATAGCTAGATGTGGCCCAGAAGTTCTGCCTCAGTGTTTAATCGTAATAAACAGGTTTATCACTCACACAAAAGTCAAGTACCAGCACATAATTTGGACAAAAATTGTAAACGTATTTTAAGGCCTAGGACTAATAGAAAGAACTAGGGTATGAAATACCATTTTTATAACCTTAAAAAATCTACCGGTAAGCAATCTGTCATCAACCAACTACAAACGTTTAAAAACAACTAACTAGAACAAATCAAGACCAGACAAGAGGCAGCACAATTTAATTGGAACAGTCCAAGAATAAAGCCAGAGCTGAAGTTATGGGTTGAGAGCCTGGAATCTATAACCCAGGTCCTAAGTCAATAACATCATACTTAAAGAAACAAATAATGAATTGATATATTAATTAATCAATATTAAACAAGGGACACACATCAGAGAATATAGAGGACTGTAGAGAGAAGAAATAAGAGTACAAAATTCATCACTCAATTAGTAATACACTGCAAGTAAACTGAACATGAACTTGTCAAACATACCACATTATAGTCGACTAACCAATTGGCTACATGTATGTGCCAAGAGAATATTAAAAAAGAGCTATAACTTAACTTTAATTTTCCTACCTGGGTTTAAGAGTATGATAACCTTTATGCAAACAAATTCTGCATCATCCAAATTCAGTTCTTTAAACTTTGCTGTGAGCTGCATAACACGATGCATAATGTCACCAATTCCTGTGACTTCTGCAGTCGAAAAGTCCAACACTTGCCCTTTACAAAGAAGTACTCCATTGTCTAAATGCAAAGATTGTTTTGTCAGATTGATCAGCATAAGTTCAATCCAAGCACTTCTTGAAAGAACCCGTTTATCACTCTCACTGATGTCATGAAGCAAGGGCAAGCATTTGAACCATTCAAGGTTTCTCTTAATCTGCTCCTCTGCTTGTTGAGTGACATGAGCTAGAGTCTTTTGCCCAGTATCCTCCAACTGGCAGCCCTGGCAAAACGTGGAAAGGTGATCAGCTGGAGGTTCATATCTCAAAAGTTCTTTAATAAATGGAGGAAAAGTTCTTGTTGGGATTTTCACAATTGGGACAGCATCTACGTGGTCTGAACTTAAACTGCTTGATGACGAGCTTTTTCTTGGCTGCTTAGCAGCTGGTTCAGATTTGACGCGTGTGTTAAAAGGAAAAGATGTGTTTTTGTGTTTTCCACCAGGTGTCCGATCTTCACGAACAGCTGAAAAATCAGTCAGAGAGAAAACAAAATCAGTCTACGGTATAAAGCATATTAAGAACTGTTACTATGAGCCATGATATTCTACTATATGTATGTTACAGATTTTACAGTTACTTATTAATGCATACAAAGTTACCATCAATTATTAAAGTTCATTGTATTCCTAGGAGGTTTTAATTACTGCACAAGAAAGACAGACATTTTTGAAAGCAGGTAGATGAATAGATGACACTAACCTTCTTTCAGCATGCCAGCTTTAATGCACTTTTGCAATCTACAGAACTGGCATCGGTTCCTGTGACGTTTATCAACGGGACAGTCTTGTGTCAAGTTGCGACAAGAATAGACTTTCTTATTTTGAACACTCCTTTTAAAGAATCCTTTGCAGCCTTCACAACTTGTAACACCATAGTGATGGCCTGTGGCTTTATCAGAGCAGATCACGCAAATATCATCATCGGCGGGTGAAGGTTGTTGAGGGGTGCCTGGAGTTGATGGTGTTCTTGGTGTCAAGGGTGACAGCGAAGGTATTGCTACCGAGGGTGTGGCTGGAGAAATGTCAGGATCTGGCTCTCTAACACTCCCTGAATTGTTACTAACAATAGCAGAATCTTGCGCTAAACAAGGACCCATATCAACTTCATCCTTTCTGTTAGCTTTTGGAGATGTGCTACAAGACTTAGCAAATCCATTTTGTGGGTTGGTACCACTGTGCGTTTCCTGGCTCGTTAAAGATGAGTTTCCATTGAACTGTATCAAAGTTGGAGAATATTGGTGCAGAGCGGCATGTTGCGTTGCTGCTAGTTGGTGGGGTGAAAAGAAATGAGGGGTGTAGAAAATGCTGCCTTGGGCCAAATACGGTGAAGCGATGGATACCATTCCTCTTTCCCCTTGAACTAAAGGTGGCTGAACAAGTAGTGGCTGTCCATTTGATGCCACCAAAATGGCACGAGGAAACACTTTAGGCTCTGTAGGGGATGGCAACCCATTGACATGTGAACTAGTACCTAGAAAATAGAAACAGTAACAACATCAGACAAACTAAGTTTGGGGTTTAACCTTCATTCTCTGGCAAAATTCATAACCAGAAAATTTTCCCCTGGTACAGTATTTTTCACACATGGCCAATAATTTGACTTACATAAAAGTAGTATACCTGGGGAGGTAGATGCAATTTTACATCTGAAACTAAGTTTAGGAAAAGCCATGTTTCTACAAAAACTTCTGTCTTCATCAGTTAGAATCTCGGAAAAAATTCTAATTCATGACCCTGATTTATGCAATAAAATTTTGATTTTGTGCAAAAAGGGTGTACACGTATATCGCTTTTGGGGCAATATATGCCATTTTTGCACAAAATCCTTAAATTATCAATAGAAGAACATGCTACTAGATAAATAATCATGAACAAGAAGATCTGTTAGATCTTATAACCGCACTTTTAAAATTTAACTGTTTGCTTAGCACTACCGTCGGAACGCAGTGCACATTCCAAAGNAAGTCATGATTAAATTTAATTGGTGTTTTCCACGAGTAAAGGGCTAGCAAAGTAGTCACACAAGTCATATAATTTAATAATAAAACTCTATCCCGACCATTGTTTCGATTTTGGTCACTCCCGTGACCACAGATTGAAAACGTGACAGAAAATTGACATTACTTTCGATTCTCACCAAATTTAGACAGTGGGATGATCTCATCCTTAGCCAATTACAGGCCATTTTCCAGCTCTTTTCGTCATATCCCCCCCACGGGAGAATTTTGTCAAGTTAGCTAATTTAGTATGCAAAGTCTCAAATTTGCCATGAACTACTACTTATAATCAAAGACTATTAAGATTGTATCAAGTGGATTCCATTTACTTGGTGGCTTTTTGGCATTTGCAAGGCACAAATGTGACTATGGAGGTTTTGCATAGCAGCCACATTTGCATAGCAGGAACAATAGATTCTTTTTCCTATGGGAAAAAATGATCTTTCTAATGCAAAATGCTTTCATTGTTCCTGCCATGCAACACCTCTACAGTAATCTATTTGTCAATACCAGCAACATATCTAATGTAGAGTATTATAATACATGGTATGGAAGAAAAACAACATTCAATCTGAAGCTTTTCCGATACCTAAAAGACAAGTTGATCGACTCTTACACTCACAAGTTTAAAACAGAAATTCTCCCTAACTGTTTCCAAGGGCATTTGTTTTACAATTTAACTTATGAATTTCAAGGTAAATCAACAGACAGTTTGCCAATGTTTATTATTTTCGTTACGCTCTGTCTCTCTGATATTGTGTTAATGCTATAACATGAAATTAGACAATAATTATTGGTCTCTTTTGGAAAACCTGGCGATTTCATCTGTGCCAGCTGTTAACTCAATTAAATTTTGAACATTTTTAGAATAACTACTCCTTCCCCTTGCATAAAACATTGCCAGGTTGCCAATGACAACCAAACCCACTCACAGCACATCAATAACACTTTTAACAACAGACATGTACAAACATCCTGTCCACTGACATGTGCCTCTGATATCAAATTTAATTTTGTAGGTAGAAATTACAATTGTACATTTTTATTTCCAAAAAAAAGTGTCATCCTTATATTTAAATAGCAAAACTGCGTAGCTGTATTAAAACCAAAACATAAGAAACATCACAAATGCCACATGAAACAAGTTCCAGCCCTCAATGTTTATAAGTACAATCTCACTGTTGGGAGTACACCACAGGGTGTGTTCATCAGTTGAGTTTTGCATCAATGCATGATTGAACAGATCTAGGCAACTGTCATGCAACACAAAAATCTTAATGGGTAGCTCTGCTCTTTTACATCATAGAACACGTAAAAACTGTGGCTAGTTGATTTTTTTTTACCTCCCAATCTATCTTTTACACACTGATATTCTATAAAATAGTAAAGTAAGGCTGGGGTAGATATCTGAATTGATCTTCTAAACACTCTACTCCTTAATTGGTAGCCTTTTCAGATTCAAAACAACTTTCCAAGCATTTTCTACTGGATCAAATTCTATAATGGGTCAGGAAATTTCTCACTTTAAAACTACCAGTGCATAGATGTTCAAAACTCAAAATAAAAATACATTTCCCAACAAATACAGACACATTATTATACTGATCTTTTAATAGTGTGGAACACTTCCTTGAAGGAGATTCGTTTAGTGCTTAAATATTCATGTTATATGTTTACTTTTAAATTGATTCTATCCATGTTGCCAAAGCCCCTCCTACCTAATTTCAAAATCAATATCAATGATACCTAAAGTTCTTGTTTGATATAAGTCTACAGTGCTGTTAACATGCAGTAACTAATGTCCATCTCAAGAAGACAGAAGATCGACGAGACACAAAAATAGAAACTTTCTAAACGTCCCTATTTGGTGAATGTCATGAGTTACGTTCATTTGTCACACCCTTTACAGTTTAAAGGTGAACTGTACAATGTTCACGTAAGTTTTAGCACCAAAATAAGTATTAAAAAATCTAAATCGTACAAAGGTTTAAGAACTACAGAAACATTTTTCACGACAACAAATTTTGGAAATAATAGTTACAAGTAAGCTCGTCAATAATTAAATTACAAAAATAGATCATTTACGTCCTGTAGTCTAGCATTTGCATTGCTTAGGACATCAACTAATTTGAAGGGAAAGATAACTTCTTGCTCTTCTTCGCAACGAGTACCTATCCACTGCATTATTCGCTATCGAGAGCTAAGTTAAAATGTTAAATTCGGCTGTCGGCATGTTTTAGTCGTCTTTTATCTGAATAAACGAGGAAGGAGATTAGGAATATTATAAATAAAGGGCTATTCAATCGATAAACTTCCCTTAACGAAGCTAGTGCCCGGAGGTACGAGGATAAATGTTTATATAGTTCGTTGGTTACCACCAAACCAAAATCATGACAAATTATTGAGCTAAAATCGTCATTTCTCGCAATCTGAAGAAAACACGAGATGTACATGTGGGAACGTGTTGCACAGCACACTTGCAGCAGACTTCAACATGTATCTGAACTGCAATGCGATACAGTTTAAGCTTATTTTTCACCGGCGGAAGTAGGTCTCGAACTCAAATGTCTGTAACTAACGCTCTAAGACCAGCGATAGGCCTTTCAGACCGTTTATTAACAAACTAAAGGACTTACGAAATGCAAACACATGGCTACGTGGCTAACACACAAATTGTGACCCATCAAAGAATTATCCTTTTGTCGGAGAACTCGAGATAAAAATCAATACAAGTTTCACAGGCTCAGGCGTTCCAGAGGGAGAAGCTACAGTCTAATTACATCCATGACAAAAGAAAAACAAACAGAATGCGTTTTAACTTCTAAATGAGCTATTCTAACACGTTCTTGTGAGACAAGTGCTATCTACAATCGACCAGAGCGCTTGTTTCTACAACTTACTAATTCTCTCGCGAGTTCCAACGTTCCTTCCTTCTTCGACAGACATTCTTCCTCAATGGCCGCCAATTTACGCGGATAAAATCGGCCTTCTAGTCTCTGAATCTTCCATGAACTGCATGACAAGCGTAGAACACGTCAGCAAAACACAAAATGGCGAAAAAGGTGACACATAAATCTTGGTAATTCAGACCAGACGAGCAAACAGTGCCTTATCACTGCACCATCGGTCCTTGACGGGAAAATATCACGAGAACATCCGGGACCTTAAATTGCGCATACTCAATTAGCGGCTTGTGGAGATTCTGCTCCGGCACAAATCGATTATTTTTATGTTTTGAACCGAACTGAATGACTAAAAATAATGAAAGTTTTCGTAGGAGATTAATCAGGATTAAATCCTGGATTTTTCGGAGTCTCTACACGGCCACGAGTAAAGTTTTGATATATATTTTGTACTCCGTCTGATAAAATAATGGTTTGTTATTTCAATGATCTTTTTTTCCCGGCTTTTTTTTTTTTGTTCTTGCTGTTGCACATTGCTTCGTGAATGAAAAAAAAGGAACTGGCACGTAGAAACATGATTGCCTTTGTAATGAATGGAAGGTTCTCGCTGATTAAAATGACCTAGACTGAGCTTAGACAGCTTAGTGTGAAGCCTGAAGAAGGGGAGAGGGGCTGGGGGGTTCTCTGTAAATTTTTGGGTGGCGGTGTGCCGCTGCAACACTGAAACTCTTGCCCTATAATAGAGCATGATCAGCTTGATTTTGCAACCCTTTTCTAGACTGGGCACCAAAACCCCCTACCCTATCCCAAACTAGCTCTTTTCCATGCAGAAACCTTATCACCATCATTTTTCAACATGCGTTAACTAAAAGCAATATCTTACAAAGTCACTGCCGAGTTTCAATTTCTATTATGTTCTAGACTAAATTATTCATACACTGGCCCCTTTCCAGGTAAATTACACCCTAATCTAGACCAAAACTGTCTGATTTCTATACCCTATCCCAGACTAAACTGTCTGAGACCATACCCTTCACAGCGGCACATACCCATGCATATAGCTCATATATGGGCTAGAGATTATGATCATGTTCCCTTGATGTGGGAGTACCCCCCGGGAGAAGGGGGCAGCAAATGAAGTTCTTTAACAAAACAACAATATGAAATAAGGGAAATGAAGACTAATGATCACGTTTGTTTATGCAGGAAGGTTCAAAAGTTCAGGTATTATCTACATTGTACGAATGCCTGTACTCAGAAAACGCTACTACGGAATCACATGAAGACCCGGTGAATGCCGGTGGGAGTTCTCTTTCTTTTTGCTTAACAGCACTCACGTGTTTCGCTTAATGTAAACAGAGCGGTCTTTAATTGAGTGTCTTAAAACCAAAACTAAAGTTATCACACGGACAATCCAGTGAGCCAATCAAAACTCGAAGCCAATACGTGTAGCTGGTGCGAAGCGCGGGAAAAACGTGCCGCTCGAGTCACGATAAATCCAATACGTTTTGGTTTTTGTTCTGATTTCGATGACAAAGTAGTCCAAAGTATACTAATGCAAAAACAAACCATCGCGAATTAAAAAATTGAAAAAAACTGTTCTAATGACAAACTGGTTAGAGATCTTTTGTGATCTTATATGAAAAATTTAGCTGCCGGACTGCCCTCGGTTAAGAATATTCCTTGACGTTTTTCTTCTCGTATGCCAGGGAGCAAGACTCCAGAAAGCCGGAACGTTTTCTCGTTAAACATGCTTGTAACTTAATAACTGAACAACTGACAACTCGAGAGCATGTTTTGCCAAACAGTTTCCATATGACTCAGGCGTGCACGGCGAGCAGATGAGCAGTATTTTCTTTACTTTGGTCTTTTGCTGTCTAACAATAAAAGCGCATGTTATTGGCCCTTTCCTTTGTTTAGCGATAAAAAGAGAGAAAATTGAGAGGTTTTGAAAAGTCTAAGAAGCTATCTTAAGAAATATATGGAAGCTGAAGATAGTTTGATAGACTACATTCAAGTTTTCCCTTTTCTCTTTTCTGTCATTGTGTTAGCCCGCGGACCCGGATTTGCGAAATTTCGGCCGTCTCTTCAGTCGAGTCGCATACTCTCGGTAGCTTCCGTATCATTAACATCCAGACAACATCCGGAGATTTCCGAAATTTCTGGAAAATGGTGGGTAAGAATTGCCCAAACCGTTGCTTGAAGGGAAAAGATTGGCTTGACATTTGAAATTATAAGTCGCCACAAAGTTTCCGAGCAACTTCTGGAAATCTTGTGGAGTTTATTTATTCTATAACTACGAGTATTCTCACGAGGGTCCTACCCGCGAGCAAGACTGCTTTCCCGCCGTGTTTATCTTCATTGCGGAATATGAACGCTAAAACAGTTGGTACGCACATCCTAATACCCGTCTAGAGTTAAAATTCTCGCCACGTATTCCTGTTTTTCTGCGCGCTCATTGTAAGTAGCGTGCGCGCGAGTTCCCTCGCGAGTCGATCCGTATTTGACTGACTACATTTCGCCCAGGTAAATTCTCTTCTAAACCTTAAGAAGGCCCGCCGTGGGCTCAGTGCAGAGTTGGAAAACGTGCATGGCTCCAATCCCCTTCATACCCCGCGCATCTCTCTGCGATTATAAAAATCAGCCCCATCCTGGCATATTTGCTGGGATATTTGCAATATTGTTTCAAAAGAATTTCTAAATAATGGCCGACAAATGCCCGGGGCGGGGAAAGAGCCGGTCTGGAAATGATGTAGTAAGTTTAGTTCTAAAGTTTAACCATCGATAACATTGCTAGCATTTATGTCACAAACTCTAGTAAATTTCCTTTGCCTTCGCAGACAGATTATGCATTTTAAATCAAAGGGTTTTCTCCTAAGATTATGAGTTTCTTCATTTTTGAAAGGTCCTGCTTAATGAATTTAAATAATAATACTAATAATACAGGGAGTTCATCATATTTGCATTGGTTCATGTCCCCTCCAAGTAGGCTCTGGACGAAACGGGGAACAATTTTCCCCTTGTAATTTTATGATCCGGAAACCAAAGTCACCTTCGTAAGTTAGCTAGGGAATGACCAGCCAATTACAGGCTTCGAAGTGGAATTTGATAAATTACCACAATTTTCCTGTTAGCTCTCCCCGGGGGGGCTAACAGTGAATAAATAAAATCAAAAATTTGAATTAGAATTTTAGGTCTTGCTGCGAGGGGAGGGAAGGGAGGGTGGGTAGAGCAGAAGGCAGGGAAGGAGGGCCTAATATTGAAGAGGGTCCACTGTATCATCCGAAACAAGACTCGGCGCCTGCTTTAAATTGTTTGAGTGAAAGTCAATTGACCGTCCACGATCAGCACTAAACGACATTTTCCGTAGATAACAAATAGATTAGGGCGAGGGCAAACTTTTTATCTGTCTTTTTTCTGACTGAATTTAAAGAGAGCTAGAGTAAGGGTTAAATATAACACCTGCGCTACGCAGCTTTGAGTTCTTCTTTTAGCCTGGGCATTGCGAAGGGGAAAATGTTTCAGGCAAATAAAACCCAGTTGTAAAATTTCACCAAGTTCTTCGTTATTCGTTTAATTTAATACATTTTCCTTTTCACAACGAGAATATCACACGACTTAGCCTTAACTATACTAATTTCTCTTAAACAGAATACGAGTTACTCAGTATCAGTTGAATACATTTATAGTCAGGGGAAAAGTCCCTCATCTAGTTTTTGCATAAATTCTGTTTAGGTTTGCCTGAAGATAAACGGTCTTAAGTATGTTCATTGGAATATAAAAAAAATATCACGAAATTGCTTTTAAATCCTACATGATAAAGCTTACTTCCAAAACGTAATTTTTTTCTCCTTGCGCTTAAATCTGTCTTTAATACATAAAATAAGCATTCCAAAGAAACGCAAATTGAAAATTCGACGTCAGCGTTTCTCACGCCGCTACTTCTATTATCTGCCTAACGAGTATTGCTCAATGTCTTTGTTCGCAGAGCGGCTGTAGTGTAAGCAGATGACGTCATTCTGTCGAATCTAATTTGTCTCCCAGTTGTGTGATAAGAACACATATTTCACTGAAAACGCACACTGAATCCGAGAATGTCGAAAATTTTGCTATTTGGTGCTAGTTTTGTATTATGCGACGAGTGTATGTGAGCAATTTTTCCAAGATTTCGAAATTTGTTAAGATCAAACAGCTGTTTTTCACTGGTTACCCAACAATCAGCGCGAGTCACCTCGCCGAACTGGCTTCTCAAATTTTAATTGTATTTTGACGCGTGGGTGGCTGGACATGAAATATTAAGGCTTAGCGAGTGAGGATACATATGCATTTTACACGGTATATAATGGAATAATCCTTCAGAACAACGAATATTTCGTGAAGAATTCCTAGTCCATTCATTCCCTTACGTAGAAGTTCTCTGTTTTCAACTAGGCCTGGAATGCAGTAGTTGAATGAACGAAGAGAGAGTCTCACTCCCACGACGGTATTAATTTTTTTTTACTATCGGATGAAATATTCGTTCTGTCGATGGGGTTCTTAAGATTGTTTGGAAAGTTACGTTTTCCTCGCATCGTTCCATTTTCTGCAAGCTGGCGTTTTCGCCGTCCAGGATACTCAGAAAAATTCACCAGCAATGAAGATCCATTGATTAAAGAAGGCTACATTTGGAAACAGAGCAAGTCGACTCCGTTGAAACGCCGTTGGAAGAGAAGGTATTTCATTCTGTCCGAGGACAAATTATATTTATTGAAGGAGAAGAGCGAAGAGTCTGTTTCGGCAAAAATCATTCGGATTTTGGATATCGTTTCGCTGATGGCCGAGGATTTCGGTTTTCGACGGAAAAAATTTGGTTTGCGCCTTCGAGCGAATAACAAAGAATCTTACATTGTAAGTTGCAGTACTGAAGCTGAGAGAAATGACTGGATAACGGCCGTGCTGACTGCGAAATCTTACAGCTTGGTTGAACACGAATAATTTATACACAGAAAGACTGGATCGAACAGTGCTGTCTACTACAGATACAGTTTGAACCAACGTTTTAACCATGGTTCTTCGTCAAGACGAAACTAAAAATTATTCGACTGAGATCTTGTGAAATTGCTTCAAAATGACAGCTGATTTCCTGGTCAACAACACTTGGGATTTAATTTACGAACCTGAAGACTATTCGCTACTTTGCTGACTTTTCTAATAGCACCGGATATTTGCTGGAACATTCTGCCTTTGTGGCATTGCTGTCTTCGATGAAAGATGTCTCTTTCACTGTCAAAAAATCTTTTAGTGTTAGATAAGAATTTGTAGTTGCGAAATACAGAACTCAAATTATGTCATTAAAAGCTCTTTCTGAAGATGAGACCCTTAGAGTGATGCTCTATTCTGCCGTGTAGTTGGTAGAGGGGATTTTGATGCGCGCACCACAGATAGAAATAAAATGGTTTATGGTTTCCTTTTGGATCTTCCAATAATTCTTGAAATCCCATTTTTTTTAAATAGTAATAATTAAAAATTGCTCTCAAGTGAAAACATTCTTCGAAGAAGATTATCGTAATGCCATAATTATATTTCCTTGGGCAGTGACCATTGAAGCATAGAAAAATTTGCGAAAAAAAGGTATTGATCAGATGTAAGGAAAAATTGAACAATGATATTTGAAAGTTAAATTGTAGTTCCAGATAATGAAATGCCTTTTTGTCGGCGACACCAAAGATGACCGGCAGGGGCCTTTTTGTTTTTAGCTCTTCCCGAAGTGGAAAACACACATCACTGTTTTTCATTTCAAACCACTGATCGAGAAAGGGCTCTCTTTTATACATAGAGGGGCATTAATAAGAAAGATCTCGTATGGGAAATTACACATTCAACGCAAGCTTTCCCTGATGTTAAAATAGCAGTCCTTAATGTAAAACTGGACTCTTCCGTAATCTTTTTCTGAACATGTTTGAGTTAATAAAGAACTAACATCTTCAGACGCCTTTTTAAAACATTGGTGTTTTCCCTTTTTGTTAAAAAACCCCCGAACTTCATGCTGGGATGTGTGACAAAATTTTGCATCCTCCCACGCAAAACACGCTGCGTCAGCGGGCTGTTGTTTTCGTCCTTTTCTGAAATTATACATTTCCACAAGCCTTGAAAATTTTGCGCGCTGTCAGAGCCCGATTGATTAAGAAAACCAATTGCACTACTTCGGTTTTATTAGTACAAGGAAAACGACGAAACTGTTCCGGTTTTCTTCCAGTAATCTATCTTGCAAATATAGTTAATACGCTTGTTCTTAAAATAGATTAAATAAAAGACACTGAGCAGAACTTCCGTGAAAGTTATCACCTCTGCCTCCAGTTATATTTCGTAACGATTTTTCGTCAAAAAGAAAAAAAGATCCAACCATATTATGAAGCATAACGTTTTAGAGTGACGGCATGTCCAAATCTGATTTTTACACTGGTTGTCTTGTTTCGTGTGTATTTAAGCTGGCAATTTTCTATTTTTGTCAACAATGCAAGCGCTGGTCTTGATGAAATTTCTTTTAAAAACAAAGTTATCAACAGCTGCATTGACAAATTTGTTCCTTCACATTTATTCGTTCCTGTAGCGGAGAAGCAACCAGATCTTTATTTCATTCTTTTAAAAAAGATATATATAGGGGTGCTCAGTTGATAGAAAAATAAATATTTCATTTAGATACGCTTCTGAATAACTTATCAGCGAGGCAAAATTTTAATTCTTTGCTTCTGTTTTGGGACAACGACATCGCTGTTGGTTGTTATGCCGACCTAAACAGATCATAAGTTACCGCAAACGATAAGGAAGGCATAACATTGATGGCCTGCCCATTAAGTCTATGCAAAACAGTGCCGGCACTACAATCCGGCTTTTTAACCCAAAAAAGAAGATTTGAGTTAAGTTGAATAAATTGATCGGGGTGAATAATCAGTTTTTGGTTGAGTTCACTTGAGGATGTCCTATTCTCACATCAACAGTCTCAACATGGACACTTAGTTATTCCTTTTTGAGGACGTCTGGTGCCAAGGGCTTTCTCGTCCCCAGACGTGTCTCAGAGCCGAGGGGGCCTAAGCACGAAGAAAAGGTGACTCTGGAGACAAATTAATTTTTCTTCAATGTTTGCTGTCATGGATGCCAAGCGCGCGACAGTGTTTATTATTTTGTGTCACCTTTCACTCATCTTCGCGAGTGGAAGCAGTGCCTGAACGTATACCCTTGATACATAAGGGAGTGGGAACCGTTTAGTTTTTGGGGAGGGGGAGGGAGACTGGTGGGATTTGATAGTAATACAATGACCCCCCTCTGATTTACTGTTTTTTGATGCAACCAAACCTGTGTAGCTGGTAGGGTTAAGTGATGTTGCTCGGTACATGACAAAGTAGGGATGACCCAGGTGCCTAGCCAGGATTTTTCAAGGGGGGTTGGTCACACTGTGTCAAAATGAGGGTATTCACTAGATTGTCATGTCGTTTTCGCCCCCTGTTGTAGGTTGTTTGCTTAAAAAAGACTTACAACAGGGGCTCACTAGACTTGCCACAAGTCGACCTCATGAATTTCAGGGTAGAATATGTTAGGCCGCGAGGCGACCGTTTATAAGGTCGCGAAGCGGCCGAGCGAGCGTGGCGATAGTTGTTGAGAATCGCCTCCGGACTTCCAGTTTAACTTTAAGATCTAAAATGTACTGTAACTGTTGTTCAGAACAGTCGTCTCCCTGATCTTTCATCAGGGAAATAAACGGAACCACCACCAAGACGATGGAGTTGCTATTCGCATGATCTCCATTCAAACAATCAAACGCATACGGAGCTAGCTCGAAAGTCAAACTTTTCCCAGCTCCGGTTGGTGCAGAAGCAAACACATCTCTTCCAGACAGATATGCTTTCACTGTTTTCTTCTGGTAGTCACGCAATACATGCTATCCCATGGCCTTTGAAGCTTCGTTAATAGCTTTCGCAATCGACCCCGTATTGAATTTAACCGCAAGTCACGTTTCGTTGCGCAAAATTTGACAATTCGGTCCCCAAGGGGTATCCAGGGGACCTCTGATTGGTTGAAGCGCAGCGACCCGTTTTTGGGTCGCTAAAATTGGCGGCAATCAAGCAGGAAAAGTCCTTCGTCCGGCGGGTACTGAATAAACAAGACGAAGGACTTTTCAGAAAGTCTAGGGGCTCACGGCACCGCAGGACTCCCCCACCCCCCTAACTAGCTACGCCCCCGTGCCCGTGGTAATTCTCCCAGGAGAAATTCAAATCTTCGAAACCTCAAAAACGCTATTTTAGGCATTCTGGTAGAATTTTTCTTGCACGGCATATTTGAGTTGAGTTGAGTTCTATATGTTCGGCAGCCCAGCACTACTTCATTCAAAATCATCTCATTGATTTATTTCATCTTGAGAAAAGTCATGTGTAATGGAATTTCTAAGACGCAATTAAACTATGCACGAAAATACACGAAGATACCACTACAAGATCTGAAAAGGTCTGATTCACAATAGGCCAATTTCGAGTTTAGCCCTAGGCCTGAAAGACATAAAACAAAAGAAATTGTTATTCATCTTTCAACCTCAATGTACTTTCTTTTGTGTTATTCTTCTAAGCCTAGGAGTCAGGTTAGAATTCTAATTAGATAACCTGGCGAGAGTTCATCCCCAGGCTCTCTCTGCATGCTACCCTCGATGACAAACCTAACAAAATACATCGCACACATAAAAAGAGCCTGGAAACAAATTCCATTGATTTCTAGCTAACAGTTCGGAGTAGACAGATTATAGTAATTACGTATTTGTGCACATATTAACGTTATATCTAAGACGTGAAACACTGCAAAACACAGAATCATGTCAAGACCATAAGATGAAGACTCTTTTGGATAGAAGTAAATGTTGATTTATGAATATAATTTCACTCTTTAAAATGAGTCTAGTGGAGTAGTACTAGACTGACCCATGAACTGATTTTCCAAATTTAAAGCCCAATATTTAAATCTTGATCCAAACTGAAAAATCCAAAAATATCATTATGTTTTGTTTTTCTTTTTCGTTGTTCTTCTTGTTTTTACAGAATATATCTTAAATATATTAACCAGTAACTATCTAAAAAATGATTTCCTGATCGGTGAAATTTAAATGCTACCGATAAGAATCATTCCTATCTCAATAATTAATCTTGATAATCATAACACCCCAAACACTTGTTTGATACTCAAAGTTCCCTGAGCTAACTACCTTTCATAGTTGAGCGTTATACACATGTGGCGATAGGAAACAACGAACTACATTGTACAGCGTTTAATACACCTCAGAACAAGTCAGAAACAATTTGCACCCTGTTCTTGGACAGCGGTTGTCCATGGAAGGTTGCCTTGTAATATGAGCAGTTCTTACAAATGACGTGCTGACGTCACCACGTTCGGAAATGTACGAGAGTGCTCGTCCCTGATTGGCCAATGTTCATCGTAAATTATTCGGGAAGGCGACGACCATTGGCCACAGTCCCAGTAATCGCTAAGTTGACAGAATGAGTACTTGATGAAATGAACTTTTAAACGGTTGAAATTTAAGGTTTCTTTCAGGAGCTTGTGTTATGTTATGGTACTCTAAACAAAGTTTAAAACAAGAAAGTGAATAGAAACGACGAACAACTAAACCTCGACCTTTCCCGTGAACGTCGAAATCCTTTCCTACACGTAAGACTCGTAAGAGTAGAGTGGCCGGGCGCTTTTAGCAAACGCGAGTTCAACATCCGTGGTTTTAGCTTCATCCTTCTTGGCAGTCTTCCACCATAACGGCCTCAAACCATTCAATACCACAAACAGCAATCCAAGTACATCTGCCAGAACAGCCATCCACAGCATGGCCTTCCCTAACAGTGCTGCAATGACTATGCCCAGCTTAAGAACGACGGACAACGAGATGTTTTCTGCCATAATAAGACGACAGTATCGCCCAAGTTCCACCAGCTCTGGTATTTTAGCCAAGTTGTTACTCATCAATGCCACATCTGCCGCCTCCACTGCTAAAGCTGTCCCTCCAGCGCCCATTGCAATCCCGATATTCGCCGCGGCCAGAGCTGGACCATCGTTGACACCATCACCCACCATACCCACAATGCTTTTCTTGCTGCTACGTGATCTGACTGTAATGTAGCGGCGACGTGAACAGCGACTAGGTAAGAAACGCCTTGTGGATTCCTGATCATCGTAAAGCACCTCGCACTCAGTCTCTTGCGTCCCATCCTGTCTCTCCTTGATCCACGATAGTTTGTCCTGCGGTTTCATCTCGGCAATACACTCGTCCAGGCCTAATTTACTCTTCACGGCCAAGGCTGTGCGCGAGTTGTCCCCTGTGATCATGGCAGTCTGGATGCGAACCCTTCGCAGCCGATCAAGAGCAGCAAGACTGTTGGGTCTGATGGTGTCAGCAAGAGCTATCATCATAGCCAGCTTACCGTCTACACACACGAAGATCACGGTTTTGCTTTCGTTGCTCCAAGTGATGTATTTGTTCTCCATGTATGTGTTCAGCTCTTTGCCGCAAATGCGATGAAGGAATTCAAAGTTCCCAATCTGGACAAGATGACCATCCACGACACCGGCAATACCTAGCCCTTCGCGAAGTTTGAAACGTGACACTTCCGGTAAAGTAACACTTTGTGACTTGACCATTTCCGCAACACAACCCGCAAATTCATTAACTATGGCGGCCGCCAGAGGATGACTGGATTTGCTTTCAAGTGCGGCAGCTAGGCGTAACGTAGCTCGTTCATGCACACCAAAGGCACATACAATATCGACGACCTGAAACTTCCCTTCGGTCAGAGTTCCAGTTTTATCAAAGGCAAGAACTTTTAGCTGAGCCAGAGTCTCAAGGTGGACTCCTCCTTTAATCAGAGCTCCTTTCCGTGCAGCCGCAGTGATGCTACAGACAATAGCAATCGGGGTGGACATGACCAGTGCGCAGGGACACGCTATGACCAGAAGAACGAGCGCTCGTCGACCCCATTCTATAAGCTCTTGTGAGTAAGTTCCCACACCTGCAGCACCAAGGATGGCTGGAATAACGAACACTAATGCGGCTAATATGACCACTGCTGGAGTATAATACTTTGCAAACCGGTTTATGGCAACTTCGGTCCTTGCTGAACCAGTTTGGGCTTCTTGGACTAGTTGTGCCACCTTGGAGACTGTAGAGGTGGTCGAGTCAGATGTAGTCTTCACCTCTAGGTATCCATTTTGATTGACTGTTCCACTAGAGACCTTAGAACCCACTGTTTTTTCAACAGGAACAGATTCGCCTGAAACAGAACTCTCGTCTACAGCAGCTCTCCCCTTCACGACCTCGCCATCCAGTGGAATAAGTTCTCCTGGTCTAATGGCGATAGCCGTTCCTATGGTAACTTCTTTCACTGGGACACATTCGCCGGTACTAGCCAATATCGCCACTTGAGGTGCTTTGAGCATTAGCCCCGAGAGAGTCCGCTGAACTTTGTACATGCAAAACTCCTGCAGTGCTTCGGCGAAGGAAAATATGTACACTACAGCGGCGCCCTCGAGCCACTCCCGAATGGCCAGCGTTCCTGCTATGGCAATGAGAATGAGCATATTGATGTCAACACTGCAGGTCTTGATGGAGACATATGCTTTCATCAGCACTGGGGCAATGCCAAAGACAATTTCTGCAATTGCCACCCACTGATACCAGGACGTCTCAGCAAAGAATGCTACAACGCCTACCATTAAAAGAATGGTTTGGATCAAAAGGTAAACTAAAAGCAACGACAAGGAAAGAGGCATCTTTTCACTGTCCTTTCCATGCTGGCGAGATCCGCTTTCCATGATGCTCGCTCCCAGGTGCACGCGGTTGAGTGTATTGACCAACTCGGTGGCTGACGTCACTTCCGGGTCGTGACGAACGTATACAACGCGACCGATGACATTGACTGCGATTGACACGACGCCTTCCAATGGCTCTAGGGAGTCTTGAACGAGCATACTTTCCATCGGACAGCAGATGTTCTGGACTCGCAGTTTGGTTGTCCTTTCGCGTACAACTGGTTTCGTCCCGCCAGCGCTGTCACTTTCCGGAAGACTTCGCGGTGATGTGGGAGGGGTGGTCGGGTAAAAACCGCTGCAGTCGGTCATTGAGATTCTGCTTCCGGATTTACTCTGAGGGAAAAAGTCTTCAATTGATATGGTGAGCTGATTTTTCTCGCAGCAGGAATTTGCAGATAACTTGCTCGTGGATCCATTACAGCGTTTACTGTCACAGCACCTGTCTTCGTGTGGCGAACAGCTGAAGGTTATAGCTGGATTGCGTGACTGACATTTACCATCAGGGAGTTTGCCCTGACCACAAGGACTCTGACAAGAGCTTCCGGTATCACAGCAAGTAGAAACTGAGCTTGCAGCAGCTGAACTGGACGGTCTCCCAGTGTCCTCATCTGGACAGTTGCATGTTGACTGACAAGGACTGCAGCAGTCATCTCTGCATATCTCTTCACAGCAGTCAGGGGGGGTTCTTCTCAAAGGATCAGCTGCCTCACTCGTCTCACTGCGTGACGTTTCGTTTCCGGAACAACAGACTCCACATGAAGGCGATTCCAAAGCGGCAGCATCCTGACCTCGTGGCCGCGATGATTTGTCGCAGCATACATCTTCTTTCTGTTGCTGTGTCTTTTCCGGAGAGTTGCACTCGCTTGGCTGAAATCTACCTCTTTCTTCTTCGTCAATAATTTCAGAGCAGCAATTGCTTTTGCAGCTCGACTCATCGCGACAAGGGTCAGTCGCCTCGTCACATGGCTGTCTCGCGCAAGAAGAAGGGTTTGTGCTGGGTTGGTTTTCTCCACTACACACACCTTTCCCACTGTCGAAAGAACTGCTGGACTGTTTTGCACAAGGAGCTGGAGGGCATGGGTCGGTCTGCTTTTTCTCATTACAATCATTTTCCCAACTGTCGAAACAACGTTTCTTTGATGGACAGATATCTGTCGGATTTGCGATGCCATACCATTTCACAGTTGGCGAGAAATAATTAAAATCTTCGGAGTCTTCGTCGCCATGGTAACAATCGACGCATGCACACGAGTCTTCTGGTAATTCATCTGAGCAGCAGTCACAATGATGTTCCTGGCACATGGTTGGTTACCACTGTTGAAAAAAGATTACAAGAAAAAAATGGTTTTAAAAAGAAAGTGGGTTTAAAAATTAGAAAACGGACTGTTGTCTTGGCATAACTAAGGACTACTGTGATATACGTTTATAACCAAGCTCCATGTCCGAACTGTGGCCTCTACTTTCCCGCTGTATGGGGAGGGGTCCGCTGTCTAGGGGGGAGGGGGGAGGGAAAAGCGAATCCTTCTCTGATGGAGAAAAAATCTGTAGATAATTAAAATTATTGTTTCACTCTAAAAAATACCCGAGAGGAAAAGTGGTGTCTACAAGTGAACACATCTCCTACTAGGAAACTAAGATTAATAAAATAATGAACCTTAACACCAGGTCGAATTCAGAGTTAGATTACAGAAAATGATCCAAAAGTCAGCTACCCCGGGGTAGCACTCCAACCTCCAACCTCGTTCCTTCCCTTATAAACATTGTCGAATACCCGCGCCCTTGGATAAGCGACTAAAAATCGGAAAGAGTTACACCGCATTTATGGCTTTGTCTTCTCGAGGCGACAAGGAAAGAGGTACTAACTCCAAATCCAAAGCGAAGATCGAAACCTAAAACCCGCGCCTTGCAAACCACTTATAGACACTTCGGTGTTGCATGACATATTGCCGAGCCATATAAGGGGAGATGAGCGGAATATTACATGCCACGTCGAGTAATACGGATAAAATACCCACGTTATATTTAATTTTGCATTTAGATTCTCAAAGAACCGCAACAAGTTGATCTCGATTTAAGAAGTGCAACTTGTACTAGTATAAATCTATTAGCGTTCTATCACGAATGTCGTTCTCTTATTGGTTACACCACTCACGGTCTATTTTATTGAAGGTGGTGAATACGCTGTGGCTAAATGACCGGCAGCCCGTTGAATAACCTAACAGTGTGCGCTTGCTAACAAAATGGTGGCCGATTCTTTGCGTTTTCGAAGTGTCTGAGAAGAGGATTACGATAAATTTGAACAACTAGCAGATTCTTAGATTATTCGCTCTCGATTTCTATGCGTGATGCAATTTTCGAACGTTTATTACATCAATGACGAAGCGAAATATAGCAGTGGGTAATTTGCTGACGTATCATGGCAAGGAACAATTTTCTGTCCTTTTCTGATTCTCTGACCCCTCTGAACAACGTTCCCCTTGATTACAGTGCGTAACACAAAGTTCAAAGTGAAATAATTAGTTGTGGATCGAAAGCAAAGAATAGGGAAGACTAGTCGATGGTAACGCTACCTTTGTGTAAATCGTAAAAGATACCGCGACACCATGAAAACAAATCATCGCTGAACATGGCTCTTTTCATCCTTGTAACTACAAAATAAATGACCTACCACTATGAGAATCATACCTTTGTGTCGTTTCGGTTTTCCTCACACTGATCAAGTGTGCAACACGCGAAGAAATGGGCTTGTGAAAGACAGATTGGTGAAAGAACAAGCCTCGTCATTGGTCCATTTCCGTAACGCAATCCTCGATAATTTTTAGCAGCTGAACGAATGTCTTTCTGTAGCTAATTTCCATGAATTTTGATGTTTATTTATACAAGGCGGCTCGAAACAGAAACTCTTTAATAATTGATTTGCATACATGTGTACCTGCAGTGGCGTTTTCAAATCTTGTATAAAGAGAGAGAGAATTTACCTCGACCCAAACACTACTTACATATTTTCGACAAAAAGCTAAATTAAATTCGCGTCATTTGCAAATCAGGAAACCCCAATAAAATCGATCTGACTTCTTTGCATATTGGAGGACAGTCATTTACTATAATTAAGAAAAGAAAAATTTCCTTGCCTTAAGTGTAGCAGACAAAATGTTTGAAAATTCGGTTGTCAGTATCAGAGACATTTCTGAATTCTCGCCAACGACGCAAAGGAAACTCTTGGAAATGTTATGGTGCTTTATCTAGCGAGATAAGATTTATCTCGGCTTTGAAAACAAGACAAGCGTCCTAAAAAAATTTCAATGTTGGCGAAATTTCAAGTCCAAGCATGCGGACCGCACAAGTAAAACAACACTGAGCGATAAATCTTGACTGTAAACATCACGTTGCTGTGATACGGAGCTGTGCAGGCGATCATTCGTTTCCCTTCCAAGAGGTTTTCATAACGATGTACTGCCAAATTCTCAAAACTAACCAGAATATAAATGTATGGTAACAAGTCAGGAGAGTTAACATTTCCAGCTTTACATTAAAATGGTTTTCTCCGCTGAGCCAAACTTCACTTTATCCCTCTATAAATTATAACGCTTTAAATATTTTCTTTTAATATTAGCTGAAGGATTACAATGGTAGACACAACAATTACAACAATTTTCTTTCTTATCTTCTTAACACCCTGACAAATTTTGGCAAACCTTGGCGGAAATTTCCCAAAGACCGTGAACGTATGAAAACATCATGGAACCATAGTGCAGCACACTTCTTTCGACATTTTCTCTTGTGTAAATGCTAAAAAGACTGTTTGCGCGGCGAAGGGATGTGTGCAAAATGATTACAACAACAGTAACCTCTGACATTGGGCTATTGACTGTAACCTTCAAAATCTAGCAGCCTTCAATACATGCATCCTTGTGCGAAATTAGAAAAAACAAACAAATAGGAAATCCGTGACGTTCCACACACGTTCCAGACTTTCCAGTGCTTGTTATATAAAGTATCAATGAAACCATATTTACGAGGGATTTATGGTGTGAAAAAAAAAAAGACCTTCGTAATCCGTTTAATATTTCAACACGTTTTCTGTTGTAATTCTACAAATTCGAACTAGCTTTCTGATGTGGATAAATAAACAACACCCACGTCCTAATAACTAACATGTAGAGAGAATAACAGTAGTCTTCTTAGAAGTCACTGAACGTTCAAGCTTTTGCGGAATGCATTGAGCTAAACAAATTACCCACACACACAAAAAAATAAGAGTTTGGAACTTATATGTTAAAGACTCGCTTTGGGCTTGCCGTGGTATGGCGACCGTGCGCTCTTTGTAACAGCGCCTACCAGAAGAACCCAGAATTTAAGAATGTTGCACACGAATACGTTCAAAACAGGTCCGTTAAAAACGCACAGAATTAAACCTTTGACTAGCAATACAGCGACAGCAACAGACGATGGGTTTAAATAAGTAATTAATTGAAGAGCCGTCTTCGATCGCCGAACGATCAATTACAACATTAGCGTGTACCGTGCACTAATCGACTGATTAGTGCTTAAAAACAAGACTTTGTGATATTACTTACAAATCAATCGCTGCCTTGATAAAACTGTCGACGAAAGCACGCAGGCTGGGTCAGTCTCCTTTGCTGCAATTGGAAATCACCCAAGGTGTGGCTGGTGTGAAAGAAAGGAGAGACATTTGAAACACGTCCGAGAGCGGGTGACCAACTCGCCGTCGTGTTGAATTTTCATAAGACAGAAAACATGAATTTTAAAATACGTTATGTGCAGGAAAATTGTAGAAAACCACAACCTTCACAAGTCTGAAACTAGAAGATTAAGCGTCTCAACTCACAAATAATTAGCACAAAGCAAAGAAGCAATAATTTAGATGCCCCTACACCTTCAATCTCCAGGTCGCTTAGCGCATCACAAAACACAACCCAAGCCAAGATCACTAGCTTTTGAAACAACTCTGAGGAATGCAAATTTGTGCAGTCAACCGGCTCCAACAGGAATGTAAATGCAAACTGCTCTGTTTAAATATGGTTCACTCACAATGGACACTTGCGTCATTTTGAAGAGACTTGTCAATCATTTGAAATCAATAAAAAAAAAAACTGGTTTAGAGAGAAACATCCAAAATTATCAGCTTTACAAAGCCGATTATCTTTACTAAACCACGATCTGCTTCATCTAAAAGAATAACAAGAAGTCTGTCACATTCTTTTAAACTCGTGAGAAACCTTCCTTATCTTACACTTCTAAAGAAGCAATGATGAATATATTACATGTAAACAGATGACTGCAAAAAAAAAAAATAATTAAAAACGTAGAAATTGAACTACTTTGGAACTATACTCGTGTATTTCTGAATTAAATATATCCTTCCTAAAGTCAAAGCTTAGGTAATGCAATGTTTCCCTTGGGTATAAAGTCCGGCACACACCAGGGGAGCATGTTGCGTGAAACATGTAGCGAGGTCATGATGGAGGGCCAATTTTCCACGAGTGGCATGCCTGTTTTTGCAAAAAAGATTTCTCTTGCATGAAATTCAGCTGGTTTGAATTCGTGCGCCATGAAGTAGGGACAAAATGACAACAATTTTAACGTTGCAATGTGTGCACTGCTTGTTCAAACTGTGTCCGCTTTATCACATTTTTATGCCAAAATACAGGGGGTTTCTCTCAGCTTCAGGTGCCCGCAACAAGTCCCCTTGTGTGTGACGACCTTTACCACTGAAATGACAGCAATCAAACAATATTATTATGACGCAGCGTAAGATGTTTTAAACTTTTTTGACTAAGGACAAAACCCAAGCGTTAAACAATATAAATGTTCAAAGCTGTTACTGACAAGTACTTTCGCGAAGGAACTTTTGAGTCTGTGGATGATACCCTAGTGCGTGACCATTCAAATGAAAGCTAATGAACTGTACTTTCATGTGGAGCTGCTTATTATAGTATACTAACTGTTCAAGTTGGCTTACTTTTCTTTTCATGGCCCAGCTACTTCCTTAGCATGCATGCAGTGTCTCTTTCAAATAACTTGTTACATTGCCAATTTATTTTATCTGTCAGTAAATTTATTTTATTTGTCAATAAAGATTTCACTGGAAACAAGTATTTAGTAACTGTTGGAAAAAAATCAGCTTGTATTCTTTTACTAGTGCAACAGTTCGTCTACAATGTAGTTTTTATGTACTGCATAATAAACGTGCTTTTATGAATCAACAAGAGCTTTTGTATCAAAATTTTCAAAATTTCAGACTTATAGTATTTCCCACTTCACAAGACATTTATTTTCCTACTTAATGAAGTTTCCTAACCGTAGGTTGCCTTGCTTCAGGATAACCGTCTATAATCAGATAAATTTATCCTATTCAGGGAGGAGTAGAAATACTCCTAGTCACTATATGCTAGTAATGGAAACTGGAGATACCGGTAAGTGCCAGCCTGATGGGCCACTGGGCACGAACATTATTCCAACTTACTAAGACATTTGTTACACAAAGAAACCAAGAAAAAACCCATGACGGGTCTTATAAAAACAAAGAAAGATGAGCTCCATTTGAGATGATCATTGAGAGTACACAGAATGGTGGTGAAATGTTTGCTAAAGAAATATTTCAACCAAGATAAAAGCATTTGCACATTTGTCTCTAAAGTCAATTTAGCCCATAAAACCACACATTCCTATGATTTGTATTACCAACTAAAAGGCCATTTCTGAGTTGCCTTTGCCTCAGTTTAAAACATGTCCTCATTCAAAACTTTTCATACAAAAATGATTTTGATGCACATGAAAGTGTACATGCAGGTGGAAAACACTTTTATAGGGCATTCCTACTCACTTGGTCAGTAGCCAAGCAAATTTACTGGAACAACAGAAAGTGTCAGGGGCAGATTTAGGGAAGATGGATTGGGTGGCTAGCCACGTAGTCAGCCTGTGAGCATAACAGCAGAATAATGCCCTAAAATTAAGGTGGCTCCCTGTAGTTTTACGATTGCACGCAGTAAGGATGAAAGCTCAAGTAATCTGCATGCGCTTGAAGGAAAACATCAGTGTTTTTTGATATTTTATGGCGTCAAAATGAACATAAAAAGCACAACTGACAGTGAATTTTCCTGCATTTCCTACAGTGAAATTCCATAAAATTTGGCAGACTGGTAGTAAATGTTTTACTTTAGTTGGAGCTTGTTTTTCAGGGAAATCTATAAGACCAGTGTTTTTGTCAGCAGTAAAAGACATAAATTTGCAAAAATTGAAGAAAACTGCTGTACAAACCCTTTTTCATTCATGTTTAAAATTCATATCCTGCAGGATGCGATGTGCTGTAAAAATTTTGGAAGATTTCACTGAAGGAAATTCAAGAAAATCACAAATAAAGCCATAAAAAAAGTAAAAAACACATTAGTTGGGGCATTTATAATTCAAGACTAAAACCCAAAATTTTAACAGAGACTATAGTAAAACAAATTTAATCATTGCTTATTACATGTAATAAGTTTGTGAGGTAGGTAGCATTATAGGTTGAAGGTACCCATTTATACACCTGGGTGGAGAGAGGCACTGTGAGAGTAAAGTGTCTGGCCTAAGAACACGACATGATGTCCCCAGCCAGGGCTCGAACCTGGACTGCTTGATCTGGAGTCAAGCGCACTGACCATGAGGCCACCGTGCCTCTAAGTTTGAGAGGACTGGGTGTAAAAAAAAAAAAATGCAAAATCAGCATTCAAAACATAACACTTGCGTGTGCAACACCATAAATGATTACACTATGGAGCCACCTCGAGTCAATCAGAGTTATATCATTGCATCGGCTAAAACACAAGCCATGCAATAAAATATGAAAGTGACTATATGAATTTTGTAGACTTGAACTGCAGGTGAAAGACCATCACAGTTATGTGTATGTAACTAATAAGCAGTTTTATCCTAACCTCAAATGAAAACCAGTAAAAACCAATAAAATTCACAGAGGACCCGAACTCTATATCAGCAGTAAAAATAAATGTACTGTTATTTATCTGTGTTCCTGTGTCTTTTTTTAGTCATTTAGAAGGGATTTAAATGAAGCGAAGACGGTTTACATTTCAAATATTATCTTGTCTGCTGTTTTGTAAATGTGACGCTACGTCTCAAGTTTCCATTACCGTCCTTAACTATTTTAATAGTTCGGGGAGAGAAAGGAGAAAAGAGATAAGGGATGAAACTAAAATGAGGTCAGTTTTATTTTGGTGTCTAATTCTTTTGTTGCTGAACATAATCGGTTAGAATTTCACCTCTCGATTGATTAAACAATTGATATTCAGGTGAAAATGAATTTGTTTATTTGGGCGCCTTTTTTCAGCTCATTTTCGAGTTGTTTTTAGATGCAGCTTTTCATCCCATCTGTGACTACACTTGACTTGACTGGAAGCGCTTTTAAATTTTTGAGCATGAGCTTCATCAAAATGGTCCTATTCTTCTCTTGACAGACTCTTTTGTTTACCTTTGACAGCCACGTGCATTAGAAATAAACAGGGTCCGGTTGATCAAAACTGCAATTAGTGCTAATCAGGGATTAAATTGCTTAACGGACAATTAAAATTTAATCTGCAATTAGATTGCATTGCTCAAAGCCCGATTAGCATTAGTCAAACTCTAATTGGTAGGTTAAATTTAATACACCTCTGGAGGAGGATTAACTCCCTAATCTGCCGATTAAACTTGAACAAAAATGTCCAGCTTGTTGTTTCATCTCCCTCATGTTGGACAAATGTTATCGAGATAATCATAACATACTCGCTTATAGTGGGCAAGAGTTTCGGACTCATTAGAGATTCGGGAGAGCATCCATTGAATACATCACAAAGCTCATAGAGGCAGATTTGCGGAGAAAACGAAGCGTGGCCATGCTCTTGAACCAATAAACCAAAGTGCTGCTAGCACTAAGATTTCATGCTAATGGCAATTTTCTTCAAGTTATCGGCAATACAGTTGGAGTAAACAAGGCCACAGTTTCACTGGCAGTTTATTTGCCGGGGAGGCCATTTGAAAACAAAAGTTTCGTGCAATTCTATGACGTTAAATAGCGTAAGAATACATTATAATCAATGAAAATAATCCACTTTACCCTTAATCACAGATTAGTTAATCGGTGGATTAATCTCCTTTTGAACAACTGTTTTCTAATCCCCAATTAGCTAACCCACGATTTGGAAATTTAATCGACAATTAGGCTTAATCAGAGGTTAGTTTAACTGCAGTTTTGAACGACCCGGCCCAGAACGTACCGCACAGACTACCTGGTCTTCGCGTGAGATAAATCTCCAGTTAGGTATAAATCTTCGAAAAAAACCAAATATCAATGCAAAATGGGAAAATATTCGCTATTTGGTTCACTGATTTACTTTTTGATAACTGCGGCCAGGAGCCGTGAAAACATAGGGATTTCCTGGCTAAAATATGTTTATGTTTTGTTTAACTGGAAAAGTTGGAAAACGAAACAGAAAAATGAAAAATATATGTCGGCTCACCACTACGCAAAGCTGAAATTGCTCCGTTCTGTTGCTGAAAGATTTGCAAAATTCATTGTGAAAATTGCAGTCAAGGCCGGGCTGCTGTTCATTGTCTTGTGTTTACTTGTACATATCCATGCAAGGATCCACGCAGGCTGGTCACCTCAACTGTAGTCACAGACTAGACGAAAGCTCTCAGCAAGTTTCACCTCTTCTCTCTTTTCTCTAACGTGCTGCCACTCCCCCGATGAGAATTAATAGTTAACAATGATAATGGAAACTTGAGATGTAATCGGAGTGTCACATTTACAAAGCGGCAGACAAGATAACATTTGAAATGTAAACCGCCTTCGCTTCATTCAAATCCCTTCTAAACGAATAAAAAAACTCAAGAACACAGGTAAATAACAGCACATTTATTTTTACTGCTAATGTAGTGTTCGGGTCCCCTGTGTAAAATACAATCTTATTTCTGTATTCACTTAAAAGTTCTCAGTTTTCATTTAAATGTCTACATACTGCATGCTTCCCAAGGTCAAGCATTCTATAGTCTCAGAGCAGCCAGGGAAAATGTTTGCTCACCTAATAAAGTTTAAGTTGATCTTTTTCAGGAGATTGAGCAGAGCTCGGCTTTGCGACTGCTGGGGTAGCCAATGCAACCAAACTTTTTTCATTGGCGCCTCACTCCTTATGCTTTTGCTGGCAACTCTCTACCCAGGTGTGTAAATGGGTAGTGGTGCACTTAATGTTGTGGGTAACCCTGCAATGGACTGGCATCCCTTCCAGGTAAGGTAAAGTCTGCATACGAGCCAAGTGGCCCACCAGGCCAGAGCTTATCCCGGTTTCTGTAGCATGAAGCTACTAGGAGTATTTCTACTCCCCCCTGGATGGGATGCTAGTCCATCGCAGGGTTACCCCCAGCATTAAGTTCGTCGGTACCCATTTATACACCTGGGTGGAGAGAGGCGCTGTGAGAGTAAAGTGTCTTTCCCAAGAACACAACACAATGTCCCTGGCCTGGGCTCGAATCCGGACCGCTCGATCCGGAAAGGAGTGCACTAACTATGAGGCCACCGCACCTCCACAATCCCATCCAGGGGGGAGTAAAAATACTCCTAGTCACTTCATGCTACAGAACCTGGGATAAGTTCTGGTCTGGTGAGCCAGTTGGCCCGTATGCAGATTTTACCCTTTTACCTTACTTTAATGTGACATTGGAAGACAGACATATAGATTGCACATTAACGAATATTTTTGTTTCTAATTTACATAAAAAAAGACAGATTCCATGTTGCTGTGCATATCTTCAGTAATAAATCATGGAAGTTATCATATGTAGAGGACATTACATGGCTGCGTGGAGATATGAAATTCACCTTCAGGTGTTGAAAAATATTTCAGGAGTGAGCGCAGTGAATGAGTGAAATATTTTTCCACACATCGAGAGAAACTTGTATCTCCAAGTGACCATGTAATTTTCTTTTTATTGTATAAAATTCTCACAATACACAACAACATTTTGGTGATTTTCCGAAGACTTCCAGGACCACTTTCCGAAGGTAATTTTCCAAAGATTCTCCAAAATTTGTCCAAAGGCCAAACAAACATTTCCGAACATTTTCCAAAGATTTCCGAAGTTTTCTGAAGATTTCCGAAGAAGATATGAATATGTTTGGCCAGATCATACACCAACAAATTTAAGAGCAGTTAAAGGGACAAAAATGTTATCAAAACTGAAATCCTCACATGTGGGATATCATTTTTGTCAATTTGTTAACACTCGTTATACCACTAACTATTACATTTAACAAATTGATGTCAGTTTTTTATGCGTCTGTCCTCTTATTGATGATAAATTGTGTCATAACATTGTCAAAGTGGCTGTGGAACCACGAGCCGCAAGCAAGTGGTTCCACAGTAAACTTTGACAATGTTATGACGCAATTTATCATCAATAAGAGAATGCATAAAAAACTGACATCAGTTTGTTTTTACAATAACAAGACCCCAAAATGGTCAAATGCCGGAAATAAATGAGGGGAAAAGACGACGTAAACTTGCCTTAAACAAAGATAAGTGAATTTTGTTCAAAATGACATGAATGTTGTCAATAGTTCTTCTTGCTTTTTGATTGGCTACTTAGAAAAGTCACTAAAATTCCATTGGTTAAAAAGTTGACAGTTTGACAGCTGAAAGTTGAACTTGAAATCTTTCATAAATTAAAATTGTATCTGTCTGTACAAAGTGAGCCGATCAGCACGCAAGATTTTAGACAGTTATTGTAAAAACTATAATTAATATAATACATGCCACACAACAAAATTAAAATTACGCCAATACGAAAGCTATCATCTCACTCTATCAAATAAAATATCACTTCAGAAAAATACAACTTATCTATATATCACTTCATGATCATGACTACAAGAGGAGGTAATTTGGAAAATATTTTAACTCACCTCTATAAACAAGAGCTTTGTCTGATCACTGTTAACAGCTATTGAGTCAAATGAATACGAGAGTCCAACAAGGTTCCAGTCGCCACTTAGCGGACAACAAAGCCCGGCCTGAAGCTGCTGAACTGAAAGCGGTACAATAAACAAATCTTGAACGTAAACGTA